CGCCCGGCCCCAAACCACTAATCTTAAAGTTCAATTTCAAATCAAAAAGAAACACCCAAAGTATAACTTGTGTCAACATCACAAAAGATAAGGACTGAAGAATTGTTTCAAATTAAAGGAGACTAAAGACACACAGCAATGTAATACAACTCATGATCTAAGGTTTTCTTTTGCTGTAACAAAGCTGTTCTTTGGCTGAACAGCTGGCAAAATCTAAATAGGCAAAATGTAAACAGGGCCTATAGCCTTGGAGCATTTTATCAGTATTCTCTTCTTGATGCTGATGGTCATTATGCTGTGCCATATAAGAGAATTTTTAGTAAGCACCTATTGAATTATTTAGGGATAAGGGACAGCATATCTGCAATCTACTTTCCAGTGGCTTAGAAAAAAATAGAGAAAGAGAAAGAAAAGAATAAGCAAGTGTGATATTATAAATGTTAACATTTAGAGAATCTGGGTGAAGAATATATGAGAATTCTTTATATTATTCTTGCAACTCTTTTGTAAGGTTAAAATTATGTCATAATTAAAAGTTTACAGAAAAAAAAAAAAATGAACAAAAAGCCACGTTACAACATAAAGAGCCCTAGACTGGTAGTTCCAAAACCAACCACTACTACCACTAAGTAGCCTTCCCTGGGGCACATCTCCCTGTGCCTGAGTCGCTCACTTGACAGAGAGGCTAGCTGTCCTTATAGCAAAGGCTTCGAGGGCTCAAGTGACCACATATATCTACATGTTGGGACACTTAGTACTAACCTGGAATCTTAACAAATTAGCTCGTTGTGTAAGTTAGATACATGGTTTAACAGAATTATGAATATTTAAATGTTATTTCTTACCTGTTTTCTTTCCACAAGTGCATTTGTTAGCTGATGGCAAAGCCCAGCAACTAGACATAACAATAACAAAATATTGAAAATATAAGCAACTACAAAGTCAAAACATACTTGATGGAAAATGAAATGTTATTTAGCTTACAAGTGTCTGTTGCATATCGAATGTGCTCCCCATTACAAGTACTGATGAAGAGCTGAACCTGTGAGAATAATGTTTCGAAGTCGGGAACACTGGGCATAGAAAACTTCACAAACCTAGAATAAGGAGAAAAGAATTGAATGACCCTGATATTTCACGGGATAAAATGTAGAAGCAACTCATACAAGAAGTCCATCCTGCCTACAATACTCTATG